CCCCTAAAATCCCCAAAAATTCCAGAAAATTAAAAAAAAAACAGAAGAAAATCCCCCCCTCCCCCCAAAAAAAATCCCTTTAATTAAAAACAGAATTCCCCAGAATGTCCGGAAAGGCTCCCAGGCGGTGCCCGCTCCTTTCCCACTTTTCCCGAATTCCCGGATTCCCGGATTCCCGGCATTATTCCCGAATTCCCGGCATTATTCCCGGCATTATTCCCGAATTCCCGGCATTATTCCCGAATTCCCGGCATTATTCCCGGCATTATTCCCGAATTCCCGAATTCCCGGATTCCCGGCATGATTCCCGGCATGATTCCCGAGTTCCCGAATTCCCGGCATTATTCCCGGCATTATTCCCGAGTTCCCGGCATGATTCCCGAGTTCCCGAATTCCCGAATTCCCGGCATTATTCCCGGCATTATTCCCGAATTCCCGGCATTATTCCCGGCATGATTCCCGGCATTATTCCCGGCATTATTCCCGAATTCCCGGCATTATTCCCGAATTCCCGGCATGATTCCCGGCATGATTCCCGTCATGATTCCCGGGTTCCCGCTCCGCCGCAGGTGCCGGCGCTGCTGGCGGCGCTGCGGGCGCGGCTGGCGCCGCTGCCGGAGCCGCAGCTGCAGCGGGCGGCGCGGGCGGCGCTGCGGGCGCTGGCGCGGAGCCTCCCGGAGAGGGTGCTGGGCTGCCTGCTGGCATGGGGACCGCCCAGAGACAGGTGGGAATCATCCCGGAATTCCTGATCCCAAAATTCCCAAATCCTGCCCCAAATCCTGCCCCGATCCCAAATCCTGCCCCGATCCCAAATCCTGCCCGCCAGGGTGCTGGGCTGCCTGCTGGCACTGGGACCGCCCAGAGACAGGTGGGAATCATCCCGGAATTCCTGATCCCAAAATTCCTGATCCCAAAGAACCCAAATCCTGCCCCAAATCCTGCCCCCATCCCAAATCCTGCCCCGATCCCAAATCCTGCCCCGATCCCAAATCCTGCCCGCCAGGGTGCTGGGCTGCCTGCTGGCATGGGGACCGCCCAGAGACAGGTGGGAACCATCCCAAAATTCCTGATCCCAAAATTCCCGATCCCAAAGATCCCAAATCCTGCCCCAAATCCTGCCCCGATCCCAAATCCTGCCCCCATCCCAAATCCTGCCCGCCAGGGTGCTGGGCTGCCTGCTGGCACTGGGACCGCCTGCTGACAGGTGGGAATGATCCCAAAATTCCCCATCCCAAAATTCCCAAATCCTGCCCCAAATCCTGCCCCCATCCCAAATCCTGCCCCGATCCCAAATCCTGCCCCAAATCCTGCCCCGATCCCAAATCCTGCCCCAAATCCTGCCCCGATCCCAAATCCTGCCCCAA